GTCCAGCAGAACAAGTTTTATCAACAATAGAATAATTAATTGTCACAAAGACAGTAAAGTCCCATTCACACCAAAGACGTTAACTTTAACGATAACAATAAAGATAAAGTTTTAAAAACCATTCTCTATTTAAACTATATCGATAACGACGTAGATGAATAATGTTGTTGGAATCACTTTCAAAGTGATTTTTTCCAACTGATGAATGATCTAAACATTGACTGCCAATCTTGTAATAAAGAGAATGTTATCATGCATTGGTGTGGATGATAATTTAGTTATTGTTATAATTATCATTCTTAGTCTAAACAGGCATTAAGGGGGCGTTCACACAGAACATATTTTTGCATTCCACTGCGCTGATTTTCAATTGTTTTTTATTTTATTTTGTGTAAACATGCACTATTCTTACGTGTTTAGCTTTTGGATTTTCATCTTGCGTATGATATGTCGAGTGACAGATGGTTTGGGCTGAACTGTGCTCAGATTCAGAGAAAACAGAGTGAGAAAACGAGTCCAAAAACTCATCTAGTGTTGGTATAATCAGTACATTTTGCCTCTGTAGAACAGAATGGCATCATTATGAATATAATGTGGATGGTGTTTCATTTTAAAGAGAGTTAATTCATGATTTGAAACATTATTTTTGCCCTTGAGGTCCACTTATTGTAGATGTTAAAGGATCTGCAGAGCAGAAGGTGCTACACACAGCAAGAAACAGCACATTATTTGGTGAACCTTACCATATTTCACTTTCATTATTAATTCTTCTGCTCTTTTAGTTTCAATACATGGTCTTTTTTCACTTGGAAGGAAATTCTGATTTCAGTATGTTTTCATTTAACATAAAATTATTTTATTTCAAAAGATCATTGGAACTTTTATTTCTCATGATCCCTTTGATTCATGGAATATGAGTTTGAGGTTGTAAAGATCTATTAGTGGTGAACTTGCTGAACTTAACTGAACCTGAGAGTGGAGGTTTTCTGTGAATGTATTGAAATTCTACATGTTCTCATATTTCCCTTTCAACTGGTAGTATATACAGTACTTCCTCCTTAGCATATGTGCTGTATATATTAGTCAAGGCTACTACTGTAGCAAACTATTAGCAGAGTGAAAGAAGAGAAGCTAGAGGCATCAACACAAATCACTGAAATGGAAAAACAGAGTGATAATTTACAGTGCTGCCATTCAGCTTAAAACACAGGATAGGATTTCATCCTTGACCATGACCAATGACGTGAAGCGTTCCCAGTTTCCACATCCTGCTAGTAAGCCACCCACAAATCCTATATGTTCCATACATTGCTTTTACAAGACTACGCGTCTTAATTTTAAGCCTCTGAAAGAACTAGGCCTTAATGCTTGATCTGAGGATTCAAGGTATCTTACATGGTGGCATCAAAAAGCTGGAGACTTAATCTACACTTAAAAATGTATGAATGTCTTTATATTACACTACAGGGACTACTGTGGTCGGTAAGATTTTTATAATGTTTCTGAAAGTCTCTTATGCTCATCAAAGATTTATTTAATCAAAAATATAGTAAAATAGTAATATTGTGAAATATAAAATAAACTGTATTCTATGTGAATATTTTAAAATGTAATTTATTATGTAATTTAATTCCATGACTCCAGTCTTCAGTGTCACCTGATCCTTCAGAAATCACTCTATTATGCTGATTTGGTGTTCATGAAACATTTCTTATTATCATCATCAATGTTGAATATGCTGTTTCATAGTTTTGTGGAAAATGTTATACAAGATTCTTTCATGAATATAAAGTTAAAAAAAACAACATTTATTTGAAATATATATTAAAGCAATAAGCCCCAAGAAGCCGTGGTTTACAGTGAATTTATAACAGCTAAGAGGCGTCGTTACGCTTCGCGTCGTGCCTAAAACCCCCTTAACTGTTATAAATTCACTGTAAACCACGGCTTCACGGTGCTTATTGCTTTTATAAAACGGTTATTCCATATACGTAGTAAGGTTTCACAAAATAAAACAGAGCAAATAAAGTATAATGATATTAATAAAAACATTATTCTTCCACCAAACAATGTAGTTCCTCAGAATCAGTTGTGGTAGCAACAAAGTGGTTGCCAAGCAACAGACAAACGTAAACAAAGGTGTATGTTTGTAGAGTAATTTACAACAGCTTCGAACATGGCTCAGCCAATCAGAATCAAGGACCGGAACTATCCGTTTTATAAAAGCAATTTTTTCAAATATATAATTTAATGATGAAAGACTAAGGGACAGATTTACTAACAGCTTGCGCCAGGGCAAACCATCTTTTGGTGTTATAATAGTACTATCATGATTTACTAAAGACGTGCAGTGAAGAATTAGCGCTGAAAGGGCGTGGACACAGTTACTTTTGCGCCTGAACTTGTTGAATATGCATTTGTAGGAGTTTCCCTTCCAGACGCAAAATTTATGGGAGGAGAGTATTAAAATTAGTTACTCAACGTGATTTAATAACGTTTGCGCTCATCAAATTACTGGTATTTGCGCCATTATTTAACGGCCAAAAAAAGCATGTCTTAAAGCAGGCGGTAATTTACGCTGCTCTTGGTAAATTGCGCTGGTCATTATGGAAATGATCTGGCTGCGTCTGTGTTCTTTAATGTGCGCATTGTTAGTAATTCACCCGCAGAATTTTCCCCTCCCATCAGCTAATTTGCCCTGTTTAGTAAATCTGGCCCTACAACGCTATGGCAAAAACCTGTAAATTGGTTAATAATAATTTTCCTTTATCTGGCGAATAACTGTAATAGATCTAACCTTGCATTTAATATAATTTTAGAGTAAAAACTCTTAAATTTATAACTGTGAACAACTGTGTGTGAACTTGAGGAGAACGGACTTCATACATCCACTAAAAATCCCCTTGTTGATTAAAAGTCATTGCACAAATGGCTCAAAAACAAAAAGTGAGTTCTGAGAAAAGCTCAAAGTGTAACATCTAAAAGTGTCCACCACTATAAGTGATATATGCTGCATATGTAAGGTCGAGTTTGGATCATGCAAATAGTGTGAGGGTGCAAACCTTGCTGGGTTGCTTGGGTTTGGGTTTGACACTAATGAACACATCAAGCTGTTCCATTAGGGAAGTAATGCACTGCGGTTCCACCTCGATGTCCTCTTTGATATCAAACATCAGCACCAGTGGCAGGCAGCCCTGCGGAAAGCACAAGGAAGAAAGCAAGAAAAAAAGAAATGAACAACGTTTTTCTACACCGTTGTAAATCATTCATACAGTCGAACTTTAAGTGTTTCAAGGACTCCATTGGCCTCGGTCCTAAAGCAGCAAAGCTACAGTTATTCAGCAGTGATCCATCACCTACTTCTCATGTTGAAAAGAAAAACAGCAGCAGGTACTCCAGGCGTAAGGCTTTCATTTACTGGGCCTTGACCTTCTCTTTCCTCTCCTGACACAGCTAACTCAGCAGGCAGTGAAGAAACTGCTACATACGCAGGAAAAGTTCTAGAGCCTAGATTGTGTGGTGGAAAGCCTGCTATGACAGTCTTACTTGTGAATGCTAAAAATGTCCTTAATGGATCTAAATTGAGCCAGAAACTGTGAATAAATTATTCGTGAGTACTGTCTCTTCCCTCGGCCTCCAGCTGAGTGTTTAAATCGGGCCGATATCTGTCTCCAGAGAGGACCACAGTGTGGTGGAGGGCTAATTATTCTGCTTTCAGAGTGAGGGAATGCTCTCCACTTGTGTGTTCCTCAAAAGAATTGTGTTTTTTTTCTGGTGCCCCTGCCTTTGTCAGTTTAATATTCTTCTGTGTTGGTTGGAGACCATTAATTTGAAAAGGACCACCACATAATGAGACAAACCAGAGCCACTATTTGTGTGATGGCTTGAGGGAAGATGAGATGAGTAAAAAAAAACTAAAGCTTCTGCTAAGGATTACCTTGTGGTGCCTAGGTGGCTATTTACTTGTCCAAGTCAAGTCTTAATATCATCTGCAGTTTTTCTTCTCAATGCAATTTATTATACTTTTTAACAGTAGTTTTCTGTGGTAATGTGATGTAACCATCAAGTAAAAAGTAATACTGTAATATATTTTCATCTCAATCATTATTTTTTAAATATATTATTCAAAGTAAAGAATATATTCTATTCTGTAAATATCATATTTTAGTGATGCACTGAAATTATTTTACTGAAACATCAAAACCAAAATCAAAGTTCACACAGTAATCAATTAATCAAAAGTATTTAGTAATAAACACTCAAATAAAAACAAATAAGTTGTATAAATATAAAAAAGATTTGGCAGTTTTTGTTAAAGGGGTCATATAATGCGATTTCAATTTTTACTTTCTCTTTGGAGTGTTACAAACTCTTGGTGCATAAAGAAGATCTGTAAAGTTGCAAAGACTAAAGTCTCAAATCCAAAGGGATATTCTTTATAAAAGTTAAGAGTCAGCCACA